CACACTATTATGTCGTATGAGCGCGAGCTCAGTAGTTGTAATACAGTTGTAATAAAGAACCAGTCAGGAAAACTGTTCAACTCAGTTTACAGTCTAAATACAAAGGTTAGAGTTTCCCTACCACTTAAAAAACGACAGTTGGAGTAGTTGGTTTATCTTCAGTAATATCAACATTTTGTTTTCACTTTAGGTGATTGTCTCGAGCCTTCTTATACACATAGGTGATTCCACATTCACTGCATGGATCAACGGGACGCTGCATTGGCTGATTTAGCTCTTTTACTGTTTCCACCATTTTCCCATATTCCTCTGTTTGTTTTTTCATGACATTTTTCTCTAGGATGGTTTTGACTTCATTGTGAAGCCAACTTTGCTGGACTTTCTTGGAAGCTGCTCTTTTGCAATCAGGAATGATCTTTTGTTCAAGTGATTTCATGTTGAAATGTGTCATGGTAGCTGCGACTAAATATGCCTCTGTTTCAATGTCAGCAAAATCTTTGCATGGATTGAAGTTATCAAGAACGTCTTTGNTGAAACAGATGTCTCCAACCATAGATCAAGACGGACTTCTGAGAGTCGGAGGAAGAATAAACGAAGCGCCAATCGACTACGACGCAAGACACCCTGTCATAATCGATGGAAGATCAGAGATTGGAAGACTAATCGTTGCTGAGTATCATCAAACATTAGCCCATGGACCAATAGAGTATGTCCTTAGCTCTATCAGATTGAAGTTTTGGCTAGTTCATGGACGACCAGTGATCAAGAAATACACAAGAGAATGTCTATACTGCAAACAGCAGCGAGCGAAGCCTAACCCACCATTCATGGGATCGTTGCCAGCACGTCGTTTAACTCCATTCTTACCTCCATTTACACATACCATTGTTGATCTGTTTGGTCCTGTGTACGTTAAAGAAAGACGAAATGAAGTAAAGAAGTGGGTAGTACTCTTTTGCTGTGCTAATTTACGAGCCATTCATCTAGAGATTGCAGAGTCCCTATCAACCGATGCATTTCTCAACTGTTTTTCGAGGTTTAGCAAYCGYCGAGGATATCCAAGAACTGTCACATCTGACAATGGTACAAACCTTGYTGGTGCAAATAAAGAACTAAGAGAAGGTTGGAATAACTTGAAGAAGGAAAAGGGACTTCRAGATCTCAGCAGTCACGGAATAGAATGGAAGTTTATTCCACCAAGCTCACCGCACATGAATGGAGCAGCGGAAAGACTCGTCAGATCCTGCAAGAGAGCCTTACATGCTATACTTCACGGACAAAACGTCAAGTATGACACMCTGAATACTGCTCTGGTAGAAGTAGAAGGTATCCTGAACTCAAGACCCATCACACCAGCAAGCACARACCCTCAAGATTTAGAGGCATTAACCCCAAATCACATCTTACTGCACAAGCCCAATCTCAACGCAGCATTCGACGTGGTYCAAGACCGYGAAATAAACTYGAGGAAAAGTTACAGAAAAGCTCAAGTGTTGGCACAAAGATTTTGGAGCCGATGGATAACCGAGTACTTGCCTATGCTGACAAACAGAAATAAATGGACGAATCAGGTGCGAAATATGCAAGAGGGAGATCTAGTGATCATTAAATACTCCAAGACCTTCCAAAGAGGAAATTGGCCAATTGGAATASTGCTAGAGACATATCCCGGAAAGGATGGTATAGTACGTACCGCCAAAGTATCAACCAAGACCGATAGTTACACAAGACCAGTAACTAAACTTTGTCTATTAGAAGAACAATAACTATTCAGTCCAAAAGGACATTCCACCATTTGTTGAGGTGGGAGTGTTAAGTAAATTTGTTATTAAATAGTACATTGAGGCCTTTAGCCTCTTGTGATTCACCACACTATTATGTCGTATGAGCGCGAGCTCAGTAGTTGTAATACAGTTGTAATAAAGAACCAGTCAGGAAAACTGTTCAACTCAGTTTACAGTCTAATATACAAAGGTTAGAGTTTCCCTACCACTTAAAAAACCACAGAGACAAAAGTCAAAGAAATTGGCGGGAAAACCAAAGAATGACAAGCCATGCAACAGATGCTGTACTGAACCCAACAAAGGCGACAAAAAATGTTCTGCGAGCTGCGCTGAATGCCACTATTGCCATAGACGTGGACATTTCAGCAAGGTCTGTTATAAAAGAAACCAAAGAAATGAATTACAAGAACATGCAGGAACTAAGCAAGACAGTAACCCTACTAGGTGAAATGTTCTTAGGATCAGTAGAGATAGACGGTGTATAAAACATAAATAGTTTTAACAAAGTCTTCACAACCATTGAAATAACTGCTAGGCCCTACCACAAGAAGACAAGGCCCGTAAGATGTAAGGTCGACATCGGTGCAGAAACCAGTGTGATATCCAAAGTTATTCAATAAACTTATGCCTAGTATCTTATTTGGTGGACTTACATTCTCCTCGACTGAGTTAATTTTAACAACGGCAGTTCAGCAACCCTTTAAACCACCATGGGATTCGAGAGCGTTTTTCATGTCAAAGGCTGTCAGAACGTCGTGCTTTTCGTTGACCCATCACCTAATATGAGACTTCCTGGGGCCGTTTTCCTATCACAAATATCCTTTCCTGACTGCAGATCTGAAACGTCGTAGCGTAGAGGAGTTATACCAGATCGTTTGCCAACGTGGAGGAGACTGAGCAGGAAGGTTCCGCTTTGGTAACACCCGGCATTGTCCGATCTAAAAAATGCACTGTCAATCTGCGGGTTTTCTTTCTTGATGTTTATTAAGAGGTTCTCTATTATTGACGCTACTGCAAAACTGTTTTATGTGCACGAATCAAAAATGTGAACGTTATAACTGCACTGACGTGCCAGCTTCCCCCTCTCTTACTGAAAAATTCGCTCATCCTCTCGATAACGAAGAGGCAAGAATTTCATTGCTCAGCATGTGTGCTCATCAAGTGCATTTAGGGCATCTTGCTTTGCCTCTTCCTGATTAACCATTCTCAATAGATGTCCTTTCCAGGCATTTACAGCTTCAATATACTGCTCGAAATTCATGTTTTATCCATAATTTTTGCTCTTTGCTGCAGGTATATTCTCAGTTATTTTTTGCATAAGGTTATCAAGGGACGAACAGGATTTGCAATACACATCATGTCCTACTTTATATGGTCTTTGGTATTTCTTTTCACTTGGGTCACTTAGTGCATGAGACGTGTAGTGGCCAGCAAAACATTTCCCTCGACCAACTTGACTTTTGAATTCCGTCTTGAGATATTTCTTAGCCTCTTTTTATTCCTTGCATCGCTTGAAGCAAGATTACCAAGAGTAGTTACAGTGTCACTCATATCGTCAATCGCATCAAGGATTTCTGAGAGGATTTCTGGAGCCGAACAAAGTCAMCTGTTTTCTCTAATTGATAGTCTCTTTAAAGTGAAAACTGCTCCGAAACTCCCATCCTGTGATTCATCACAGTTACTTGCGGATACGTTCATGGATTTCTTCACTAAGAAGATTCATAACTTGAAGGAGGATCTGTCTACATCCACCTTGACCACAGCGGACTCATCTGTTGTGCTTGATACTCCTTTATGCAAGTCAAAATTCTCTGAATTTTCTATCGTCACTGTTGACTACGTCCATGATATGATTATGAAGTCGAAGACGAAGACGTGCAACCCTGACCCTATACCGACCAAAGTTGTCAAACAATCTATTGGTGTTTTGGCAACTCCTATTACCAACATCATCAACACTTCGCTGTCTTCAGGTGTCTTTCCAACAGCGCTAAAGAAAGGCCTTATCCATCCTTTGATCAAGAAACCGAATCTTGATTGCGAGCTGTTTTCGAACTATCGTCCTGTAACTAACATTGCTTTTCTTTCTAAAACACTTGAAAGAGTTGTAGCTGCCCAAACAATTAACTACTTGGTCTGCAATGGATTGTTAGCGAAATTTCAATCGGCCTACAGAAGCTTTCACAGCACAGAGACAGCATTACTGAGGGTCTTTAATGATATATTTACTGCCATCGATAGTCACAATGAAGTTGTTTTGGTTCTGTTGGACTTATCTGCAGCATTTGACACTATTGATCACTGCTTACTACTATCACGACTTCATNTATGCAAGAGTGGAGAACTGTGTTAACGTCAAATGGAGAAGTGTTGGGTGAAGTGGACATCAAGCGTGGAATATTCCAGGGAGATTCGTTGTCTCCATTGCTGTTTGTTCTCGCTATGGTTCCCCTTACCATGTTGTTAAAAAGAGAGACCATTGGCTACAGGTTTGGTTCAGGACAGCAGATGATGAATCATCTACTGTTCATGGATGATTTGAAGTTGTATGGTAGGTCGGAGGAAGAACTGGAGAAGTTGGTTGACGTAGTTCATGTGTTTTCGAGGGATATTGGAATGGAGTTTGGGTTGGATAAGTGTGCTGTGTTGATCTTGAAACAAGGGAGCAAGGTGCACTGTGAAGGAATTTTATTACCTGATGGTAAGGAAATGAGTGAGATGGATGAGAGTGGGTATAAGTACTTGGGTGTGTTGGAAGGGGCTGATATTATGCAGAAAGAAATGAAGCAGAAGGTGAGAGATGAATACTTGAGGAGGGTGAAGCTTGTGGCAAAATCCAAGTTGTATGGTGGTAATTTGATCAAGGCAATCAATGCTTGGGCTGTTAGTGTGGTAAGGTATAGTGCAGGTATCTTGGACTGGAGTGATCGAGAGTTAAAGGAGATGGATGTAAAGACTAGAAAGAGGTTGACAATGTTTGGGACATTTCACAAGAAGGGGAGTGTTCCAAGATTGTACATGAAGAGGAAGCATGGTGGTAGGGGACTGATCAGTGTTGTTGATTGTGTGAGAGAAGAAGAGCTTGGTTTGTGTGGGTATGTGAAAGCCAGTGAAGAGTGGATGCTAAAGGTGGTTGGTGAGATGGTAGAAGTTGGTGAGACGAAGAAGGAGTATAAGAAGAGGGTACAGAAGGAGAGGAGGGAGAATTTTATGCAGAAGAGGCTTCACGGAAAGTTTATGAGAGATGTGAGTGAAGTGGCTGATGAGAGGTCATGGCAGTGGTTAAGAGCAGGGTATTTGGGAAAGGGCACTGAGGGGTTTGTGTTTGCAGCACAAGAACAGGCTTTGAGGACGAGGTTTTTCCGAGCCACGATCCAAAAGGAAGCTGTTGATCCAAAGTGCAGGGTTTGTGGTAAGGAGGTGGAGTCTGTGGGACATTTGGCGAGTGGTTGTAGTGGGCTAGCTCAAAAGGAATACAGGAGAAGGCATGATAGAATGGGCTTGAGGGTGTATTGGGAACTGTGTAGGAAGTATGGAGTGAAGTGTGCTGATGTTTGGTATAAGGAAGTACCCGATGAGGTAAGGGTGTCAGAGGATGGTCAGGTAGAGATTTGGTGGGACAGGGGCGTCGAGACAACACAGAAGATGGAACATAATCGTCCGGATGTTACTGTGTTGAATCGGGTGGCCCAGGAGTGGACGTTTGTTGATTTCTCGGTGCCTTGGGACAAGAACGTGGTGTTGAAGGAGGATGAAAAGGTTGCAAAGTATGCACCTTTGGCAAAGGAGATAAGGAAGATGCACCGGGTATCAACAAAGGTAGTTCCATTAGTTGTTGGTTGTCTTGGGGTTGTGTCGAGTAGGTTTGTGGGATACCTAAAAGTTTTGGGTATCCCAGATGTTCTGGGTGGTATGCAGACGTGTGCAGTGATTGGGACCACCCTCATTTTACAAAAGGTGCTTAGCGTCTAAGCTCCTGGATGGGGCCGACTCTAAGTTAAATTAACACCAGCAGTATGAATTATATCTCWMYTYTGGTTGTCTGTTAAACAGAAATTCGTTATTATTATTATTATTATTATCATCAAGTCCTTTGGCGGGCGTATTATCAAGACCTTGCAATGATTTTTGCAATGATGCGGCGCAAACGTCTATCATTCTGTAAAGGGATCGTTTTCCCGCGGGTTCAAAATCGTTCTGCATACAATAACAGGTATATTATTCTATTATTGTTGATGGGATCATGGAATCACCAAAGTCGAGTTTAAAAGTCTTCATACCGAACGTAACATCTTGCACCATTTTTCGATGCGAAATGAAATCTACAAAATGCTGAATTGGGGATGGAGAAATGCGGGTTCAGTATATAGGTTCAGATGGTACTGTTTGGCCTTTTTCTATATCACTTGCATGTTGACGGGCTTGATCGATTTTCCATTTAGTCAAGGAGGGAATTAGAGCTAACAGCTCTGAGCGACTAAAATCATTTGGGAAAATGGAGAGGATTTGACGCTTTGTTTGCCATGAAGCAGCATGTGTCTGTCCCGAATCAAGAGATTGCCCTCTTCGAACAGCATTCCACAGCTCTTGTTCTTGGCCCAGACTTATAACACTCAATGATGCCATCATAGTCTCCATGTCGTATTCAGAGTCGATAAGATAGGACTACTGCATCCATCAGTAAGACTTGTTATAGCAATGTTCAATATTTCACGTTTCTCTGGCCGCACTTCCACTTTGTCTGCTCAAATGCTGATCTCATTATCCGAAATCCTTTGAGCTGAGATCTGCGATGAATTTGTTGAGGTCTCCTCAGTATCAATTGAAAAAACCTGTTCACCAGTATACAGCTGTCCATCCTGCTCAACCTCGCATAAGGCATCTTAAGAGTTATCAGATACAAAACAAATAAAGCAAAACCTGTTTCAGAGATTTGCTTTTTGAATATTATATAGAAAGGGGGTTGATGATTGTAAAACCAAGAGCTGCCTACCTGTGTACATTTTTCTGGATTCAAGTCATTATCGGTGAGTGGCATTTGTGCATGAATTCCTGAAGGTCCCGCTTCTGATGTATCTTCATCACATATCTAGGCAATAAACATATTATAATTATCATCACCAAAACAACATGATAATATAATAAGACATGTACCTATTTCACAGTTGTCGGATAAAGATAAAATTAAATGGCGTATAGCAATTCTTGAACAGAATTGCACAACCAGGCGCGAAAGGAGCCATCGGTTTCACTAATTGTGAATAGAAAAACAATTACTGATTAATAGAACATAGTCTGCCGTTATTGTTTGCTCCATTTAGTCTCGATTTTCACAGAAGTTCAGCCCGGCCAATAAGTGATATTTTGTATGTCAAACAGCGTAACCATAGTCCCTTTCGTTCATGCAATCTCCGTTCAACAATTGCTGCTCGCCACTCTTCCCGACAAATTACTTTTGAAATAGGTATAATCACCTGAATAAATAAAACTTATTTATCAAATTCATTCATAATTCATAAAGTTAACACAATGGAAAATCATTGCCGTGACCGCATCGTTATATGAGCAAGAGATTTGTCTTGATTTGCATACGACTTTAACTTTGATTTTCTCTTACAAATGATATTTTATCCTGAAGTTTTTTTTCAAAATATGCTTTACCTTATGTTGGAATTTGTTAAGCAATATAGAAATATTCGCGTCCGAACTTTATGGGCATTTAAAACTGCGAGCTGCAAGCGAAAGTCTCATATTTTATATATTACGTAAACACGTTATGTAATATATAAGAATAATCCTTGATAAAACATATGCTGCAGGTTTTTTTATGCTTATATACCTTGTCACCTACAGGACGAAACTGCCCGGTTTATGGATTGTGATTTTTTTCGACATACATCGCACCATGATGAAAAAAAGACAAATAGATTATTAGATTAACTTCCGCCGGAATATATATAATATCAAAGAGACAAGATTTTGCTGTAACTCCGAGTTTCGTGCTACGCACTCATAAGACAGTATTTAATGATAAGCATTCCTATAATCTAGATATATATATACATGTTATAGAACAAAAGATCTTTTGTTTAGTATATTGTCGTTACTGTGTTTGATTATCATAAGTTTTTCTGTAAGGCAGAGGTCGCATCGTTTGGATATGTTGTTGTAGGGTCTTGCACGGCTGATAATTGTCCATTTGATGTTGAAGTCTTGTTTTTTGTCTTTTAGTTGCCAAATGTACTTAGAAAGTTCGGTGCTGTTGATGTGTTTTCTGTGTTTAAATGTAGATTTGTGCTGCGAGAATCTTTGTTTGAATGTTCCTTCTGTCAGTCCGATGTAGTTCTTGGTTGTGTTGCTGGTTGTGACTTGCGCGTTGTAGATTACACTGGTAGTTAAGGATTTGTTGTCTAGCGGGCATTGGTCTTTATTGCGGCAGTTGCATTGTTCTCCGGTGGTTGCGTTGGCGTTGTTGTCGGCGTTTGTTACTTTCATGTTGTGTTTGTTGATAACTGTTTTCATGTTGTCCATACAGCTGTAGCTGACTTTTACGTTGTTTTTGTTGAAGAGGCTGTGGTATTTATGCTGGTTCGGGAAGTGCTTAGATATGAGTTTCAGGAATGTTCTGCCAATGTTCGTCTTAACGTTTTTACTGAAAGGAGGGTTGTACCATATAATGTTTCTTTGTCTGTTGCGTCGGGGGCGTGCTGGTTGATTGTCTTTGTTGTATATTAGTGTTGCAGAGTGTCCGCTGGCTTTCAGAGCAGTTTCGTAGATTGGTTTGGCCTTGTTAAATTCGTGTTCGTTGCATGAGTTGTCGGAGATGCGGCGGTTGATGGATGCTGGAAGTTGCTTTAATATGTTAGGCGGGTGGTTAGACTTTGTGTTGATGTACAGTGGTTCGTTGTTCGGCTTTCTGNATGACTGTCAATTGCTAGAAGAAGTTTATATTCGTACGATGTTCATACGCATAAAGTTTGATCAATCGTGCTCATTCAAGGCCACGAAATACACCAAATAAACACAGAAAGAAGACTTCAATCCCGTTTACTGCTGAAAGCTATGTGATTTTTAAATGCCGAACTGTCTTCCGATAGAAGAAGAGCTCGATTGAAGCGAAGAATTGTCTCTTTGCGTAATGCAATCAATTAGGATTATCAGAACATACATGTAATTTTTCACCACTTGGAACAACCCACTTTAGCAATGGAAGACGGAACGTTAAGGCTTAAACTGTTATTAAATGTCGCTAGGTGTATGACCTGTTTATGGTTTGATAGATCTAGTGTTCTGGTCAACAGAGAGTAGCAGTAAAACCTTATTGATACGAACAGCTGTACGATTTCGTTCATCCAATCCTTCGAGACGGTTTGTTTACATATGTTAAGTTGATTTACTTTATTCACACTAGTCTAGTCACGCCTGCGAACTGTGAAGTAATTTTTCCTCTGAGAGGAGATGAATATTACATGTTGTAGCCGGCCTTCTGAATACTTCACTTGCCCATCTTCAAGAAATTAAATTACTCAGTTGATCTCCTGTGCTGTTGTGGAATTTTGTGACTTTCGAGTTAAGGGGAGGGTGCTATGTTCTCTATTTTCTTGCGACGACTTGGTGGACAGGAAATATTCTTTAGACAGATGTTCAGGGACTACTTGTTTTATAGTGTGAATGAACAACAGACTAACATGCCAGGTTTCTGTGATTTTCAGTTATATTAACCTAGTTCACTTGTTCATGAACCTGTGTACAACAGTTATTCCCTGCATAAAATAACACCATAATGACTAGTTTAATCATTTCACAGAAGGTTTTGTTTACTATGTTTATAGTTTTCACTTGATTCCTCTATGCAGTAATACAAATGGTGCATCCTCATGATAATTTAACTTTGCTTTGATGATGCTCGACAGCAAAATTCGCAGAGCAAAAAGACTTTTATTACCAGCATTGCTTGGCCAAAATATGGTGCTTTATACACCCTTTTAATAAGTCCCGAGGTATTGTTTTTTCTCCGCACTTGACGTCAAATTTATTCTTTTGAAATTTTTGCAATACAAAAGGAATTCAAAAGAATAAATTTGACGTCAAGTGCGGAGAACGTAATACCTCGGGACTTATTAAAAGGGTCTATAGTTTATGGATATACCATGCTGTTCAAGGGCAATTTCAAGGGATTGAAAATTGCTAACAATTGAAAAATGACTTATCCATATCAATCAAATGGTGGGGAAACTGAATGTGAATCAGTAATTTACTTCTGAATTTTGTGCTTGTTGTCATGCCCAATGAATCAATAAGAACAATATTTGAGTGACATCACTTGAGCCGTCTGCTTAATGTCGTTGAGCTTAATATCCAATCATCAGCTGGTTAGAAAGTGTTCACTTTAATGTGTCCTGCAATAGAACCCTTGCATGTGATGGCAAAGCAGCTTCATTTACAGAACTAAAGCAACAATTTTTGCCCTGTTGGGAACTAGATAAATTGTTTTGCCCTATGGTTGGAGCTGTATACCCATTAACTGCAAGAGCTCTACAAGATGGTTGGTAATACCAAGGTTGCAATAATTGTATAAACCTAGACTTTTTTTGAGACATCCACTTTATGTTTATTGTTTCAATAATTTTGCCATTTAACTCAGACCTTGTTGGCCAGATAGGCAATGTTTTGATACATGATTGAACTGTCTGTAAATATAGTTAATGGTGTTATTAGGCACACCTTACAACAATGGTTGAATAAAGCAAAAGGTGAGCATAGAGCAATTTTATTTAATCTSTGAAAGAAAARGTGAATTGTTCTTAGGAATCAGCCACTATTATGTACTTCAACAGCTCTCAAGCAAATCAATTGGCACGTCAATGCTCAGGGGACATAATTACACAGGAATCAAGTTATAACTGCACAACTGTTTTTTTGTTGAATTGTAAAAATGCCAGTATCCATCATGAGTACATTTTAGTTATTGT